GGACACCGACATCATGAGATTTAGGTTTAAAGAGAGAAATCAATATCTAACTATCTATCTATCTATCTATCTATCTATCTATCTATCTATCTATCATTTACTATTTATCTATCAATCTATGCATATACTTATAAACATATACATCTGTCTATAATCTATCTATCTATCATCTATCTATCTATCTATCATCTATCTATCTATCCATCTATGCATATACTTATAAACATACACATCTATCTGTCTATCATCTATCTATCTATCTATCTATCTATCTATCTATCTATCTATCTATCTAATCTATGCATATACTTATAAACATATACCATACACAGCTATACACACATCTATCTATCCACCTATCTATCTATCTATCTATCTATCTATCTATCTATCTATCTATCTATGCTGTGGGATGGTCTGTATGTCAAATGTGTTGCTCTGATTGGTCAATAACTAGAACACTGATTGGCCAGTGGCCAGGCAGGAAGTATAGGTGGGACTAACAAAGAGGAGAATTGAGAGAACAGGAAGGCGGAGGGAGACACTGCCAGCTGCTGCCATGACAAGCAACATGTGAAGATGCTGGTAAGCCATGAGTCACATGGCAAGGTATAGATTTATAGAAATGGATTAATTTAAGATATAAGAACAGTTAGCAAGAAGCCTGCTATGGCCATACAGTTTGTAAGCAATATAAGTCTCTGTGTTTACTTGGTGGGTCTGAGCAGCTGTGGGACTGGTGCATGACAGAGATTTGTCCTGACTGTGGGCCAGGCAGGAAAACTCAAGCTACATATCTATCTATCTATCTATCTATCTATCTATCTATCTATCTATCTATCTATCTACCTACCTATCATCTATGCATATCCTTTAAACATATACCATATACATCTATACACACATCTGTCTATCTATCTAAATCTATCTATCTATCTAAATCTATCTATCTATCTATCTATCTATCTATCTATCTATCTATCTATCTATCATCTATCTATCTATCGTCATGGTCAAAGAGTGGTCCTGCCCATTATTGATCCATCACTATCTCAGCAGCTCCAATCTTTCCTCAAAGTGGTTGAATACATTGTCAGACCTGTATGAAAACTTTCAAGGAAACAAGTTCCTTCTCTGGCTGAAACCAAAGCTTCAGCTTTCCCCTTTCTCTATCATGAGGCTCCTGGGGTAACATTAATTATTGGGGTCCACTGTTTCAACAGTCTGATAGCTGAAGGGGAAGCACAGGTGTCTCTTCAGAGTGTCTCCTTTCCCGACAGTGTGATTACAAGAATAGGGGCTTGGTATATTTTGACTGTAGATGTTTGGCCATCGACTTGTTGGCCTTCCATTGTGTCCACACAACCTATAGGCATACATGGCTTTCAAACTCCATGGAGATCAGAAAATGATTCTGAGGGATGGTTGAACTCATTTTTCTGGTTTTAGATGATGGCACAACGTTACCAATGAAAGCAGACAAATGCCAACTAGGAAGCTGAAGTCAAAATCTTCTCTTTGATCGGATACTTAACTGACTTGCTCAGATTTACAGGCCATTCTCAACTGGAAGAGCAAGACTCGGGGCTGTGAGTCAGACACGTTCACTGCACGCTGACTGGTGTGATCAGGTGGAATGAGGACAGGGCAGGAAATCCAGCCTCATCTAGTGTAGGGTCTTGAATGTCATGTCAAGGAGTCTGAATTTGATTGTGTGAGCATTTGGGAGCCACTGACCTAATTCCAGATTGGAAATTAGAGAAACATAAAGCAGAGAGACTAATTATATGGGCTATGCAAAAGATTGGACCTGAGCCAATTTAGGGCATTGAGAATGATGGAGAATATTTCAGAGAAAAATTTTATAGAACTTAATGACTATATTAGTCAGGGTTCTCCAGAGGAAAAGACTCAGTAAGATGTGTGTGTGTGTGTGTGTGTGTGTGTGTGTGTGTGTGTGTGTGTGTGTGTTCACTCATTCTAAGGAAATGGCTCATTCAGTTATGGAGCTGGGCAAATTCAAAATCTGCAGGGCAGGGAAGAAGGCTGCAGATGTGTCCCAGGGAATAGTCTATGTTGTCATTTAAATATGAAGGTTGGCTGGTGGCAGAATTCTTTCTTACCCTGGGAGAAGTCTGCCTTTGTTTACTGATGAATGAGACAGAGTGTCATGGATCACATCTGCTTTACTCAAAGTCTACCAATCTGAGCATAAGGGTCCAAAAGCACCCTCCACAGAATCTAGACACTGTGGCCCATTCGAGTCAGTATATAAAATTAACCATTACCTTGAACGTACGGATGTGGAGCCAAAGGATGAGAGACACAAAAATAAATGGTTCTGTGGCTTTTACTTTGCATATTTGAGTGAATGGTGATGCCTTTGAACTAAGAAAAGGGCTGATTACTTTTAGCTATCAATTTGAGACAACCTGGGAAGAGTCATAAGGAGGGATTTTCCAGACCAGGTTGGCCTGTAGGCATGTCTGTGGGTGCCTTGGCTGTTAATTGATGGAGGAAGGCCCAGCCCACTGTGGGCAGCATCATTCCCTAGACAGGGGATCCTGAACTGCGTAAGAGTGCTGAAAGCTAGCAGAGCATAAGCCACAGCAAACAAGCAGGCAACGATGCCTGCTTCTCCTCTCTCGGTTCTGACTGTGGTTGTGATACCATACGTCCCTGCCTTGACTTCCCTGAAATGATGGACTGTAACCTGACATTGTGAGTCAAATGACGCCTTTCGTCCCCCATAGCTATTTGGTCAGATTATTTTATTCCAGCAACAGAACTGAAGCTTAGGGCAGACAGAAATCCTGGAAAGAGAGAAGACGTTGAGTGGAAGAGGTTTAGAAAGTATTTACTGATTGTCAACTTTACACCAAGTGCTGAGCAAAATGTCCTCTCTTTTAGTGTGTACCTGAGAGGAAACAACACAAGGAGACCATTAGGTAGTGATTATGCATGACGTTTAGAGGCAAAGACACTGCTGTTCTATAACCTGGACCAGCTATTTAACCTCTTCAAGTCTGACCTGCAAAATAAGCTACTATTTCTAATTTTTAAAATTTTTATTTATTTATTTAACCCCCTCCTCCTCCATGTATATGTGTGTGGGGGTGTGTATACTTGTGTGCCAACATATGTGTGTTTGACCAGAGAACAACTTCCCAGGGTCACTTCTCTTCTTCCATCATATGGGTTCTGAGAATCAAATTCAGATTTCAGGTTGGGTAGTGTGTGTACTAACCACTGAGCAATCTCCCTGGCTTGGAAAGATGAGATTTTCTGAGAAGTACATGTGTCTGTCCTGTCTGACACAAAGTAGGTTACCAGGTGATGTCTACATGAGACATTGTCCTGTCTATAGTTTCACGTTGTTGGTCTCTGCAATAAAAGAAAAACATTAAACAGATACCAGACTTGTCCCGGTGTCATGACATTCTCTGGGGACATGGTTGCTGGGAGGGTACTAAGTGACATTGTCTTCTGTTACAGTATGTTAAATGACTCCATGGTGGCTTGAAACAGATAATGAAGCCCCCTAAGGACTTGTGTTAGAACCGGGGAATAATACAGGCCCCGGTCTCATTAAGAGTCTGTTAGCCATTGTGTAAACAATGTGTGAGGATTCAGTAATGGATATATAGTATTTCATTAAAGTTCATAGAGGTCATAGATAGGTCTCATGTTTAAAAAGCATGCCAAAGCCCCTTTAAAATTGTTTAATTACAGCTAATAAAATGACATCTTAATTTTTTTGTTCACAAATACAAATGCATTTAATAGAATGGAAGTAGTTTTTACCCGTTGATGTGATAATTTAGTATGGCTTGATTGTTCATTCATGAATGGATACACTGTAGGTGCTCCAGAATCAGATGTGATGCCTTAAACACAGATGTGATGCATAAAACACAGAGGAGGAGACTAACATGTGGGCCAAATCTGTCTCCATGCTTCTTTTTCAAATAAAGGTTTATTGAAACACTCCCTGATTCTGCTGTATGTTACCTTTGCCTCCTATGGCTCCCCAGTCAGGGCTAACTAGTTAACACAGAGAGAAGCTACGTGCCTTGCAAAGCTCTTTCTGTAAAGTCAACTGATGCATGTGGCACTCAATCACTTCATATCAGTTTGAAAGCCTCAAATGCTCTCAAGGCCATGCTCAAAGAATAGAAATGCTTTATGCCGATCACATGGACAGAGGATCCAAAGAGTTACCAAGTATGACCAACCTGAAGAGACTTTAGTGAGAAGCTCCTTCAGCAGACTTTGCCAAAGGGAGACCTGGGATGCTATGTGCTGCTTTTTCCAAATTTGGAAAAAACAAACAAACAAACAAACAAACAAACAAACAAAAACACGTTTCTGGTACTCCAATCAAGGTTTCAAGTTCTGTGTCATTTTCAGAATCAACCAAAGAGGTCTGACCACCACCACTGTGCCTCCACTTTCTCCTTAGACACTAATGAAATACCGTTATGACATGATAGATAATAATTGGCTTGAGAAAGGACACAGCTGATTCTGATTTTACAGATCTTTTTTTTTGTCTCTATTCACAGGCCTCAGTGGACAGATTGGATCAGTGTATTGCATAGAATGATAGACAGCATGGAAGGAAAAAAGCACCAGGCACATCCATCAATTTCAATGTAAACCTCAACACTTCCAAGGGGCTGCTGTCTGAAGAGAGAGAGGACAGAGACATGGTAATTCCTGCAGGAGGCTGAAAGAATGAAGTAGGAGAAGAGAACAAAAAAAATATCACGCTTACCTGAGTTGCCAAATCACAGCAGATGGTGGGATCTAAAGGGAGATAAACATTAGAGCCTGGAAAGTAAGCAACTCATCCTGTCAGCCTTGAAGGGCTGGTGCAGCTGAGAGATCAGTTGAAGAACTAGATGGAATTCGTACCGCAGCGGTGATGTTTGACAACAATCAAGGCTGCCCATCAGAAGGGTGATGGAGAGGGAACCTGCGGAGGGGAGTGAGGTCCTTCAGTAATGGGAAGCACTCCCCCAAAACTGCTTGGAGTTCAGAAGTCGGAGATTAGGCAGGTGTAAGTAATTGGAAGAAAATAGATCATGCTGAAAGCAGGAACTAATCGGCAGACAAACGAAGCAGCATGTTTCTTCAGGTAGATACAGAAAAGTCAGATTGCCTTGGGCCAAGAGAGCATCTCTAGATAACCGGGTTAGTACCTCTGTATTCTAGTGCTCCAGATGTTATACATTATAGCCCGAAGTCCTGGCTAGGCAGCTGTAGGATGGCTTTGAGAGGCTGCCTCTTGCCCCTAGATGCTTGTCCCATCTCTTTGCACTGGTTCCTTTGGTCATCAGCTCCCTTTCTCATTTATTCTCCTAATCACTGCTTTGTTAAATTTCTTAGAATAATATTTCAGACACTATGCTTAGTCCTGGAAACGCCATGGTTGAACAAAACAGACTTTTCCCTCCTGGAGATCATATTACAATGGGGAGATGTTAGTTTAGAGCTATGTGGTTGCCTTTACTTTCTTTATAATGAAAAATAATCATTCTTATCATAGCTGTACTTATTTATAATATGGTTCATGGATTATTGAGGAACTCGTACAAGACATAGCCCAAAATCAGTCCAAATGGCTATAACTAACATTCGTTTATTTCTTCAGTACTGTGGGTGTTGTCCTGCCAACAAAGAGATTTGATGTCACTTCTTTATTTGAAGTCCTTTTTTTTTCCACCTACATTTTTATTAATCATAATCAGTTGAGAAAATGTAATTGTTTGGTAATACTTTTATTAATTCTTTGAAAATTTTATATATGCGTGCAATGTATTTTGAATGTATTCACCTCACACTCCTCCCCATAAGTTCTCTCAGGTCCACCCTCTCCTTCTAACCCCTTCCCACCTTTTCGTTGTTTTTAATTACCCACCTAGTCTAGTTTGTGCTCCCCATACACTCGTGGCTGTGGTGCCATGTACTGAAATACCGTGGTCAACCTAGTAGGGGCCGCACCGTAAAGATAATTGATTCTCTCTCCATGAGAAGTCATCAGCTAGGGGCGGGGACCCATGAGCCCCTTCAGCCTCCATGCTCGATTGTGGGCTGCCTTGATCTCCTGCAGGTGTTCTGCCAGCAGCCACAGTTACTGTGAGTTCTTGGGTGCAGCAGTCCCGCATGACATGTCCAGAAGACCCCATTTCATTCTGGTCCCCCGTGACATATGGCTTTACAGTCTTTCTGACCCTCTTCCTCCATGGTCCCTGAATTTTGGGGTGGAAGGGGTGCGATGCAGGTGTCACACTGGTGACTGAGCGCTCCCTAGGCACTTACTCTCTATACTTTGGCCAGTTGTGATATTCTGAATTAACTGTCATTCCCTGTGTGATTAGGGCTGAGATTAGCACTGCGCTATGGGTATAGAGATATGAATTTAGAGAGCAGTTGATGTCCCTTTAGCAAAATAATAACAGTAGGTTCAACCCTAGGGCCTAAGAGCTTACCCAAAATGGATGCTTGATGAGATTTACAGTATCAGGCATGTGGTTCTTCTTGTGGAGCAAGCCTTAAATCCTGTTTCTTAAAAAAGAGGTGGGTTACCCATAAAGCATTTGGGCCACTGTTGCACCCAGGGGCATGACTTGCCAAGCCAGTCATTAGTGTGCCTCATGGAGGTCACAGCTGGGTTGATTACTTTTTCCTTCCACAGCCTACATCGCTCCCTCTGGTACCATGAAGGTTAGCCAGCAGGGAGGAGGAACCTTCCCAATCAGTTTCAACTTGATTTCTCCATGCCCCATGAAGAAAGTGTGTGGTATCTTTAGCAATAGAGTCTTACCATAAAGTTCTGCTGCTTTAGGGGATCTCTGGTACAGACTCCAGGGGTGGTGTTCCATGCCTGGCATTGATTGTTTTATTTGGCATCCTATGGCTTTTGAGAGGGGTATTGTTTACTGTGTAGAGTAACAATTTTATATGAAAATGCATGTAAGATAGATAAGATAGATAGATAGATAGATAGATAGATAGATAGATAGATAGATAGATAGATAGATAACATAAAAATAGTACATTTCTGTGTGGCTTTTTGAAACATCTTTAGTGTTAGTACATTTTCCTCCAACTTTCTCCTCTGACTTTCCTTCCCAATCCTCTCTCTATTTAAATTTCCCTACCCATGGCTCCTCTTCTCCTTCATATCACTTGTGTTGAGATTTTTTTTTTTAAACCTAGAACAGGAATCAATAAACTTTTTCTTAAAGATGCTAGTATTGAGCTAGGTATGATGGCACATTTTGGAGGTAGAGGCAGGAGAATCACAAGTTCAAGGCCAATAATTCCAGCTATACAGTGAGCTCATGGCTAGTCCTGGCTTAAAAGAAGGCTTTGGTAGTAAATACCTTAAGCCATGTGGGCCACATTGTCTCTTTCATAGTTATCTGAGTCTGTCATCACAGTACAAAAGCATCCACAGACATGTGAAGAGAGCTGTGGGCGGCTGTGTTCTAATGCACATTGTCTATGGGAACAGGAGGTAAGCCAAGAGTGGCTCATGAATGAACTTGCTCAACTCCCAGCCTAGTGTAGGTCATGAGGCTTAAGCTCTAGGGTATCACATAAATGCTGATTTGGAGACTCATAATTCTCTTTCGCCCTGATAAGAGTTTCATATTTCCTGATTGTGTAATGTGTTTTATTATCTATCTTAAAAATAGATGATGGACTTCTGAATTACTCAAATAATGGAGAGGAATGGAAACCTATGGGAGAACCCACTTCCAATAGTATGCAGCCTTGATGTTTCATTCATAAATGCCATTTAATACATTGCTTCTATTTCCTTTCAAAAGACATGTGTTGTGGATATTTGATCACACTGTGTGAAAGCCACCTTCTGATTGGTTTAATAAAGAGCTGATTGGCTAATAGCTAGGCAGAAGAGGATAGGTGGGATTTCTGAGCAGAGACAGGAACTCTGGGAAGAATCTGGGAGGTGGGGATTCACCAGAGAGATGTGAAGTAAGTGGACATACAGTATGGAGGAGAGGTAATGATCCACATGGTAGATTAATATGAATGAGTTAATTTAACTGTCAAGAGCTAGTTGGGAACAAACCTAAGCTAAGGGCAAGCTTTCATAATTAATAAAATGTCTCTGGCTGGGTGATAGTGGTGCATGCCTTTAATCCCAGACAGAGGCAGGCATATCTTTGTGAGTTTGAGGTTAGCCTGGGCTACAGAGTGAGTTCCAGGAAAGGTACAAAGCTATACAGAGAAACCCTGTCTCGAAAAACCAACAATAAACAAACAAACAAACAAATAAATA